TATATATATATATATATATATATATATATATATATATATATATATATATATATATATATATATTTTGTAGCGAGGCAGAGGGAAAACACAAACACAGTTAAATGGTGTTACAAACAATGCCCCGGAGGGTGCTTTATTTACAAGTGTAAAAGGGGTGAATGAGTGCTCTTCTTAAGGGTGTGTGCTCAAGTGCTCCGGGGAGATGGTGAAGACTGGTGAGAGTTCTGGTGTTGGATCGGTCACGAGCTGGATTCGGCTGTGGGAGAGACAGAGAGAGACAAGCGTTAGCGCAGGGAGTCATGTGGAAATGAAGCTCAGTTTCCTCCTGTGTGGGGCTGGCTTTTATCTCTCCCTGGCTGATGAGGTCCAGCTGTGAGCGATCCGGTGCTGATGAGTTTCCAGCTGGGGTGAATTTGTGACCAGGGCGACGTGGTATCAGCAGACTCGCTACATTCCCCCCCCCTTAGCGTCGTCCTGGTCCTGGGTATTCTGCGAAGAAAGAGCAGTGTGTTGAGAGGGGGGGTAGAATGTTTTGACAGACCTGCCCATCCTGACCAGAGCCGTGAGAGTCCGTCTGCGTTTCCGTGGGAGGCCCCGGCTCGATGTTGGACGTCAAAGTTGAAATCCTGGAGCGACAGGAACCATCTGGTGACCCGAGCGTTGTTGTTCTTCGCTGTAGCCATCCATTGTAGCGGGGCGTGGTCGGTCACCAGAGTGAATTTCCTGCCAAGGAGATAGTACCTTAGCTCCAGGATTGCCCACTTGATCGCCAGGGCCTCCTTCTCCACTGTTGCGTAGCGGGTCTCTGCGGGGGTAAGCTTCCGACTCACGTACATGATGGGATGTTCTTCATCACCGTGGACCTGGGAGAGGACCGCGCCCAGGCCCGAGTCGGAAGCATCCGTCTGAAGAATGAAGGGGCAGCCGAAGTCAGGTGCGTGCAGTACCGGTGAGGATGTGAGGGCCGTCTTCAGGGCTCGGAACGCGTCGTCTGCTTCCTTGGTCCATCTTATCCTCTCCGGCTGCCCCTTTCTGGTCAGGTCTGTCAGAGGGCTGGCTATGGATGAGAAGTTAGGTATGAAACATCTATAGTAGCCCGCTAACCCCAGAAATGCACGTACCTGGGTCTTTGTGGTGGGTTGTGGAGTTTCTTGTAGTGCTTTGACCATGTTTTGTTGTGGCTGTATGAGACCTCTTCCAATGTGGAACCCGAGGTATCTGGCTTCGGCTAGCCCCAGGTGGCATTTCTTGGGATTAGCTGTGAGCCCAGCCCGACGAAGATCTAAGAGCACCCTCCGTAACCGGGATAGGTTTTCCTCCCATGACTCTGAGTGGACGATGAGGTCGTCCAGGTATGCTGCTGCATATGGCTGGTGGGGCCTCAGCAGGATGTCCATCATTCTTTGGAATGTGGCTGGGGCCCCGTGGAGCCCGAAGGGAAGAACCCGGTATTGCCAGTGCCCACCGGGTGTGGAGAAGGCGGTTTTCTCCTTGGCGTCTTCACTTAGTGGTAACTGCCAGTAGCCTTTGGTGAGGTCGATGGTGGAGATAAATCGGGCTCCACCCAGCCTATCCAGCAGCTCGTCCACCCGAGGCATGGGGTATCCGTCGAACTTGGAGATCTCGTTGAGTTTCCTGAAGTCATTGCAGAAACGGAGGGTGCCATCGGGTTTGGGGACCATCACTATTGGGCTGGACCACGGGCTACGGGATGGTTCGATGATGCCTAACCTCCTCACCTTCTGGATCTCCTCGTCGATAGCCAGCCGGCGAGCCTCTGGAACTCGATAAGGCCTTTGCCAGACGATGGTGCCAGGTGGAGTGATGATGTTGTGCTGGATGATGGTGGTTCGGCCCAGTTTCTCCGAGAACACATCCTTGAACTGACCAACCAAGGCTTGCAGCTCCGCCTTCTGGTTTGGTGAGAGTTGCTCACCTATGTGGACAACGGGAAGAGTTTCTTCAGTGAAGGCAACGACATGACCTGGAGCTGCAACCCACTTCTTCATAAGATTAATGTGGTATAGCTGTTCTTCCCGTCTTCGTCCCGGCTGACGGACTCGATAATTTACCGGCCCTACCCTTTCTACCACCGTGTATGGTCCCTTCCAGGATGCGAGGAACTTCGAGGTTGTGGTAGGTATGAGTATCATCACCTTGTCCCCTGGGTGGAACTCTCTGGGTTGGGCGGGCCGGTTATACAATCTCTGCTGGGCGCGCTGGGCTTCGGTCAGGTGTTGTTTGACAATGGGCATGACTTTCTCGATGCGTTCTCTCATGTCCCGTACGTGTTCAATCACCGACCGCTGGGGGGCTGGCTCCTGTTCCCAGGCTTGACGAGCCACATCCAATAGCCCTCGGGGTTGGCGGCCAAACAGCAGTTCGAAGGGGGTAAAACCTGTGGAGGCCTGAGGAACTTCCCTGATTCCAAACAACACGTACGGGATCATGAGGTCCCAGTCGCGCCCGTCCTCTTCCACCACCCGTCGGAGCATCTGTTTCAGAGTCTTGTTGAACCTCTCGACAAGGCCGTCAGTCTGTGGATGGTATACTGAGGTTTTTATTTGTTTTACCTTGAGGAGGTGACAGAGGTCTGCCATCAACCGGGACATGAAGGGGGTGCCCTGGTCGGTCAGTATCTCTGCTGGAATTCCCACTCGACTGCATAGAAGAAACAGCTCCTTCGCGATGGCCGATGACGTGGCTTTCCTCAGGGGAATCGCTTCAGGGTACCTGGTGGCATAATCGAGGATGACAAGGATGTGTTCATGTCCCCGGGCCGACTTCGGCAAAGGCCCTACCAAGTCCATACCAATGCGGGTGAAGGGCACATCAATGATGGGTAGTGGGCTGGGGGGTGGTCGTTGGGGAGACGTTCTCTGGCAGATGTCACATGCCTGGCAATAACTTTTTACTTCCCCGTCTAGCCCCGGCCAATGGAAACGATCGCGGATCCTTTTCACCGTGTTGGCCGCTCCCAGATGTCCAGCCATCGGGTGGGTATGTGCCAATTCTAAGACCGTCTCCCTCTTGGTCCTCGGAACGACCAGTAGTGTCTTCTTTTCCCCCCGCCTCTCTGCGACACAGTACAGCAGACCATTTTCCACAATAAAATGTGGGAGGGGGTGAGGGCTGGGAAGTCGCTCATTACCGTCAATGATCCTTACTTGCGGCCAACAGTGTTTGAGCGTCTCATCTTCCCTTTGTGCTCTGCCAAAATCGCCTCCTGCGGTTATCTGTTGAAACAGATCAAAGTATAAATTAGCGGATATGGATGACTCACCCCCTCTGTTGCTCTCGGTGGTCATCAGCGCTGGTTTGCGGTCCCGATGAGCCCGTGACTTGTTCTTCTTCTTTGAACGAGCCGATGGAGCGTGGTGGTGAGTCAGGAGTTCGTCGAACCCCGGCCAGTCTCTGCCCAGTATGAGGGGCACAGGAAGATCCGGAACAACCCCGACTTCGATGCGCCAGCTGCCTGGTTTCGCCGCGATGGTCACTCTTCGGGCGGGTATGTGGCGGGTATCACCGTGCACACACATGATCGGAATTCGCCCTTTGCTTTCATGGTGGTATTTTAAAGTTTTCGGGTGAACCAGAGTGATGGCGCTTCCTGTGTCTAACGTGGCCGTTTGTGTTTTTCCCTCTAACAGGACTTTATGGGTGGGAGCTTCGGGAGGGATATTGCGGTGTACCGCGCACCCTGCTGTCCAGGCCGGGGTCGAGTGCGTCGTCGGCTCGGTGGGCATCGGCTCGTCCATCGGGCTGGGGACCGCTGGTCTGCCGCCTGGTCGTGCTGTACCCTCCACCGGTCGCCATGGTGCACTTACCCTCCGGGGTGGCAGAGCCGCTCTCTCCCCATTGTCTCTGGCAATGTGAGCTTCAGCCAGCTCAATCGCCTCCACCAGGGTGGCCAGTGACTCAGGATTTCGCATGCTGGTGAGTGTTCGCAAACGTCGGGGTAACGCTCGCATCATCTTCTCAATAATCACCTTCTCAGCAACCTGGACCGCCGAAGGATCTCCCAATAACCATAGTCTTCCCAGGCGAGAATGTTGAGCTGCTTGAGTCCGCACTGGCTGTTTCTCATCATAAGACCACTGGGAGAACTGTTGAGCTGCGCTGATTGTGGAGAGCCCCATTCTGGCTAATATCTCCTTTTTTTAACGCTTTGTAATCTCAAATATGTCCGTTGTGCTTCTCCTGTGAGAAAAGGAGCCAACATTCTCGCCCAGTTTTCTTTCGGCCAGCCTTCTCTCTCGGCAATGACTTCAAAGGTATGTAAGTATGCGTCAATATCATCCAGGTCGCTGAGTTTAGTGAGATGATGATGCGCACTCACTTCGGGAGTCGGATGGTATCTGGCCGCCTGGTGGAGCTGTTGTTCCAGTCGATCCTGTCTGGCTGTAAGTTGCTCAGAGATGGAATTCTGTTTACTGGAGATCTCCGCTAGGTGGAGCAGTACCTCTTCCAGAGACATGGCGACGGGATGTTGACAGCCGAGTAAGAGGAAGCGTGGGAGAGAGAGAGACTGTCTGTAACACAAACAAAGAAAAATTCAGCGGTTATTTCTCCTTACTGGTAAGTGTTTCTTCTGAATTTTTCCCTCTGCAATGCCCGCATTCTCCACCAGTTGTAGCGAGGCAGAGGGAAAACACAAACACAGTTAAATGGTGTTACAAACAATGCACCGGAGGGTGCTTTATTTACAAGTGTAAAAGAGGTGAATGAGTGCTCTTCTTAAGGGTGTGTGCTCAAGTGCTCCGGGGAGATGGTGAAGACTGGTGAGAGTTCTGGTGTTGGATCGGTCACGAGCTGGATTCGGCTGTGGGAGAGACAGAAAGAGACAAGCGTTAGCGCAGGGAGTCATGTGGAAATGAAGCTCAGTTTCCTCCTGTGTGGGGCTGGCTTTTATCTCTCCCTGGCTGATGAGGTCCAGCTGTGAGCGATCCGGTGCTGATGAGTTTCCAGCTGGGGTGAATTTGTGACCAGGGCGACGTGGTATCAGCAGACTCGCTACA